TTCGCTTCATTGCCATTCTAAGTAAACTTTAATTACTTTTTTGTATTGTAGTGATCATCGGGTATTTTCCGATTCGACAAGCAGCGTTAATTACAATTTTTAATTGGTTCCTTACTTCTAGTGTATAGGTATTGCGTACGTCGATACACGTCATAGATTATAAGGCACGCTGCATTTTATTTTGATATCCGCATGTGGTAGGCATACCAAAGCTGTGTGCTTTTAATTTGTTATACACGTAAGCTATTAACTCGCCCTAGATGGAGACCTATGTGATGAAATGTCGCAGAATATGAAGATTTATACAGATATACGGCTCTCCACCATTTTCTCTCGTCAGTAGTGTCTCACAAACTTGAGATTTATCACATTCTCGCAAAGCAGGTATCCTATTTTTCATCATTACCAGACTATATTTCTCCATTTAATTGATGCTTTCGCTCACATTTTGCCTGTGGCCCAACGTCTTTTTCAATGCCGTACATAGTCGAAAAAGTGACGATGCCACAGTAGCGCGAAGGCTTCTGAAGTGAGAAATCCTGTCTGAATTATCGGAGCCTTATTGAAGGTCTGATATTGACAGATGAACTTTCTAAAGTGGGTTTCATTGTATCAAATTCCGCTACAGCTGTATGAAAGGTTTTCACGCATTTCAGTCCATCGTATGTTGACAGTCCAAAGAATAATTTCGTTGACTCGGAAAACCGTTTGTCGGCACTGGTATCACTGTAAATGTTACCAACTGCCGTGAATAGAGTATACGCGTTCACGGTGAGGGGAGCCAAAATCGAAACCAAAATTTTGTGTAACATACAAAATCATGTTACAAGTTGAAGATAAAGTTAATAGGTTGTTGGGTAAAATGAAGAAATTGGGTATGATCTCGAAGGAACTGTACAGCGACTTATTCGCGTCCGGCTCCGTCCCAGGAGTTCTCTACGGGCTCCCTAAGGTACATAAGATGCTTGTTCCATTGCGACCCATTTTTTCAGCATGTGGGACGCCTACGTTTAAACTTGCCAAATATTTGGTTTCGATTTTGGCTCCCCTCACCGTGAACGCGTATACTGTGCAAAATAGTTAGTCCGTGAATAGAGTAGTACGGCATTTTATCAGATTGGGCCCTTGTGAGCTTCTAGTTTCATACCAAGTTCCAACAGCTGTCTCAAATGGGCAGACGCGGCGCACTGTGCGCCATTTATGTCACACGTGTGCCTCTAATGGCGCAGGACCACTTTCTTCTCTTGTTGTCCCGTCTGAATGGTTCGTCAGCTGTGTGATAAATGTGTGTTCGTCACTAAGCGAATATATCCTCTTGCCGGGTTTTTCGTATACAGGTGAGGGTTGGAAAGGAATATTCAACTTCTATCACATGATTAGGCAATTTGTATAATTTTTTAATATAATGGAATGTAGGAAGTAAGTTGCAGGATTACTAAGGAGAAATGTATCGTACCGCCGGGCATGTGCAATGCAGGATTTTGAGTGCGTGAGTCGGAAAAACCGGACAGATAACATTCCAGATCAGGTTCCGGGTATGAGATTAGCCTGTTTCTAACGGTTAGATACTGATTCACACTGTGATGTAACTCTAGACAATCTGAAATGTCCGCAGTACGCACACTTTTCAAACATTTGTCTTGTTCCGGCATACAGTAACGGATGGTTTTTACGGTTATCTGACTTGAGACGGTTGATAATGGAATACGATTAGGTGCGAGTACATACGGCCTGATGTGTGCCATATTTACGGACAATTCAGTTGGGCAAACTAGACCTTTGGAATCAAAATATGGAGGCATCAAAAGATTGATTCCTTTTGGGCATAAATGCAGACCATTTCTAACTTGCCAATCTCATAAAAATAAGAGAGTGTTTCAAGAAAGAGCATGCCTGATCTTGAACAGAAATGCTTGAACTATCTCCTAAGCAAAATAATATTGCTCCTAACATAACAATTTGAATTCTATAGGTGGTGAAAGGCAATCAAGGAATTGATTCACTTTAAACAGATAATCATAATATTGATTCCCCATCAGCTGGCTAATCATTATTTTGATTCACAGGTAATGTTAACAGAAAGGCAACAATGACTTGCAAGAATACAGCATTTATCTTGCAGTTGCTATTGTTCTCATTTAGTGGTATCCTCAGCACCACAACTGATACCTATAGCATTGTTGTACTTTACCTTCACCACATTTGATAACAATTCACAATTTTTAAATGTCAAGAATACAAAAACTGAAGCAACAGGTAAAAACCATATAAATAATATAAAAGCACTACAACAATGATAATTAGCGGTTTAAAAATTTCATTTTGCCATTTTACACAAATACTGATTGGTTAGTATGTGATTCATGATACAAAAATAATATACAGTGTGATTTCCTCAAAACAGCTTTTACGTGATGGACAGTGGCTCTGTCTTTTTCCCATTCACAAGGCCAAAGGGACAATTTCTTAGCTTTGAGGTAACACTTTTTGCAAACCTACCACATTTTTCTACCTTTTAAAAGAAAAATCTCACCTTTTTTTCTCACCTGGGCCTTTTTTCAACCGTAACGATTCATTTGAAGTCAAAAGTGTGCCCAAATGAATCAAAAAATTGATTCCATGCCCATATTTGGTCATGGCTCCTCCCACCAGAATCAAATTATTGATGCCTCCATATTTTGATTCCAAAAGTCTAGTTTGCCCAACTGAATTATGATTACGATGTACTCTGATACGGTTTACATTGTAATTTAACTACAAGCGTTTTATACAGTGATAGTTTCATCTCCTCTCTCTCTCTCTCTCTCTCTCTCTCTCTCTCTCTCTCTCTCTCTCTCTCTCTCTCTCTCTCTCTCTCTCTCTTTTCTCTCTCTCCCAATTTGGAATGCACTATAGGTTTCATATCACGAACGTCGAACATGTCATCCCCCCTCTGATTGGTCAGATGACAGGTGGGTGACGTCACACGCCAACAGCTGACCGGCTGTCAGCCGACGACACTTCACTGTCAATGTCAGTAGCGAGAATTCGCATCGCTAGCCCGACTTTTGTCAAACTACCTATTGCAGCTTATATGCAATAGGTGTTATTTTATGGAGTGAATTGAGCTGTAAGGCATTAGACGTCACGTTATTGAATGATTGGGGTCGCTGGCAATTGAGCTACATTTGGTTTTGTACGAGAAGTTCGCACACATTGCCTTTCAGATCAATTCATGTAATAGTTCATTATTTCCTTTCATACGCACATACAAGTGAATGATGATTCCGTAACATCTCCGAGACAATAGCCCTTAAGTAACCACGTTACAACAATTAAAATGAACAATGGTGCATAATTACATCAGTCCTCTTCACATTGAGTCCGTCATAACCGCAGGTTGTTTGAAATAGACAAACACTATTCGTTAGATAATTACAACGGTCATCACCGTCCTGAAATCTTCACGAAACTCCGGCCCAACTCCGGCCTTGAAAGTCAGCGACACGCTCACTGAGTTTTATGAAGCTGAGTTTTGTGAGTTCGCGCATGTGACGCAATACGCACTGACACTTCCTTTCGCTAGTTTCGTTTCATTTCGTTGCACTTCAGCGAATTCCGAGTGCGAACATTTGAAGTCGACGTTTTAGACGGAGCTACGAGTTAGATGGTTTTTATTGATGGATTATCGGGCTGATGTCCTTGATCTCTTTTGCAATGGATTGCATCTTGCGAGTATTGTTTGAAACGTGTTTTATCGGGTTGCGTTGGTTGTCAGTTGATGTTGACATAAGACTTGAATAAATGACAGCACAATCACAATTCTGTCATAGATATCAAGTGATCCAGGCCGTTCACTTCCATATCGTTAGACATATCGCATGTATCCCGTATAGCGCGCTTTACCTAGGTTGTTGTAATGCTATAAATTATCATCTACTGACTGATATCCCCCCCTTCCCCCCGTATGGAAAGATGCCAGTTTTGTTGGTAGTCTTGAAGGCAGTAGAAGTGATGCCAGTTGCAGGTCATTACGACAGCTGAGGGAAACACAATGCCAACCAAGGCAATTTGCAGTTATAATGAAACGAACCAGCCTCCGGTTTGTAAATTTAAGGAAAAACTTTACTTTCATATCGAATTTTAGCCATCGCAGAAGTGGTGACTCATTACACCAATGAAGTACCAAAAAAGTCCAACCCCAAACGCCAGAAACACTACAATCCAGAGCAATGTCAGTTTCGCGCACCAAAGTGCGGCATCAACTTGGCATCTCTAACCAGGGGTCTTTAATGAAAGTGAAAGTAACGCTAACCGGTCGCAGCGGTAGCTCGTTCATTGCATTATGGACTGCCCAAGCGTTACGGGAAGTCGACTCGTAACTCGGCCGCGGGAGGTAGATGGTCCACGGAGACTATCAGATGAGGGGAAATCCGGCTGCCATATCTTGTGTCGTCTCTACGTTTGACGTTGGATCAACATACTGCACTGATACAATTTATATATTTAGGTGCCTGGAAAGAAACATGCACCATTCACAAATCTATCAAAGCACTTCTAATCTAGTCCAAAGAAATCCAACCTTCCTTTCCTTTTGATCCCGCCCCTTTAGTTTCCCCGTGCGTTTACCGAAGGTCCAATATGTCACATTTCGGTCCCGTTTTCATGACCTTTTCATCACGTTTTCGTTGCATTTAGTACCGCGAGGTCAGCCCCAGGGTCAGCCCAGCTCTCATGCCCAATGACGTCATGATTACCTCACTATGACGTCATTGGTGACCGTACATGCACACCGGTCGCAGCGGCGGCCGTCCGCCCGTGCGCTCCAATGACGTCATTGTTATGTGATCGTGACGTCGCTGTGACCGTGAGCTCTGTCAGTAAGCTCCGCCTTTGCATCGCACGGCGAGCGAGCCGGCGAGCTCAGTAGGCGAGCGTCGCGCAGTAGGCGAGCGTCGTTCCAAGCGCGCGAGCTCAGTGTATGAGCGTCGCGCAGTAAGCGACAGCAGTGAGCAGCATCAGTGTTCTTTCAGATGTGGCCGGTGTCTCCAGCTGCCGACGAGGCCCAGAAGCGATGCTGGTTCATCCGGGTCGTGCCGTTTTAATCGGAGGAAGTTCCCCAACACATCGCGGGGAGACTTGGAAGGAACGTCTGGATAGAGCTCAGCGCGGCGACGAGTACGGCAGCGGGAGAGCTCTTGGTGTATGCGGAGCTTTGGTGGTAAACGTGCGTGATTGCACTGACGAACGCCCGCCGAGGGTAGTTGGTGGAAGTGGAGAAGTGGGGGCGGATGGTGTGACAAGTGATAAAGTTGAGGTAGTTGGTGATAAGGTGATAAGTGACACCAGTGGTGAGGCTGGAAAAGTCACTGGTGACGTGACGTGTGGTACACCAGCCAACGGGCTAAATAGTGGTGTCGAGAAGGAAAATAGTGGTGCCAACGGACTGAACAGTGATTATAGTGGACTTTTCAGCGGTCCAAGTAGAATTCCCAGCAATTCGGGAAGACTCTCCAGTAGTTCCAACAAGCACACCAGTGGTATAGCGGCTGGTGCCGGCGCTTCCAGTACCAGTGCTGCTTACCAACCCTACAAGAACTCCAATAAATCACCGAGTGTGAGCCTCACAACATACCCTACCGCTACAAACGAAAGCGATCTTCCGGGTCATCACAAACGTTATATCGCCGGGAGGCGTTCCCCTTCAGACCAACGCTCTTCCTCTAATTCTTCTTCTTCCTCTTCTTCGTCCTCATCTTCCTCATCTTCGTCTTATACGACGCTCTCTGAAGACCGAACCTCATCCATCGCCGACATCATGAACCTCACGTTCGTTCCAAACTCCCGCACCGATCCCTCGGTGGGCAAATCCGGTCGGCCGAAACTCTGGGGGCCTCGCGCGGCTCTACAACTTCAGCATCAGCGCCAGGCCGTGTTGGAGAGCGTGGTGCAGCGCGTAAGACCGCCGGCGTTCCAGCGCAGTGTGTCCTTAGACCCAGGGAGAGGTCGACAAACTCTTCAGGAGATGTGGGAGGAAGAGAGTCAACAGAGACCTCTGCATCAGACCGCTTCGGCAGATCACCTTGCTGATGTGGTTGATGATGATGAAGCTGCTGAAGACGAGGCGAGGGACCGTGTGGTGGCTTTCAGACCAATGGGCGAGTGGAGGAGACATCGCGCACCAAGAAGTGCTGGACAGACAGCGTTAGCTACACGACGCCTCGCTTCAGTGACAGACCAAGCTGCATTAGTGGAGGAAGCTCCCGCCACTCGACGAAGAAGTCCTCGAGAGAACGCTCGTGAGGGTAGCACCCCAGCGGTTGTGGTAGACTCTGCTGTCACTCATCTAGACACCTCCAGTGATGTAGAAGAACATGATGAACTCGGTTCTCAATCTCCACGACGTGCGTCACCTCCTGGTGTAGCCCAATACGAAGAGCGAGGTCCACAGTTCTCCCCGCAGTATCGGCTCAACTCTGAAGTTCGCATGGAGCATGAGCTTCGTGATCGAGGCATCACACCACGTCCGGGAGATCTCAAGTTTTCGAGGTCGCGAGTGATCAAACGGAGACTCGTGGCAGCTGAAGGAGGTGACGACGTTGATGAAGATGCTGCTGTACGGAGGGGTGAGAAAGATTTGGCAAACTCGACGGCGCTACGGCCTGAGGTAACGCGAAGCCGAGGGAGTAGTAACAACAGCAACAACAGCAGCAGCAGTAACAACAGCAGTCACCTCAGTAATGGTAGTGGTGCTAGGAGCAACGATTACAGTCGTGAGGACGTATCCACAGATGTAGACGATCCCGCTCCTGAGCTTCACTGCCATGGAGTTGGTGCTCGTAAGCAGCTCTATGCTACCAACTGGTCTACGCTTCACGCGTCTCTTCAGGACCTCCGCGCAACCGCAAACGAACGACGCGCGCCCCCACCACCTCCACCAACTCGGAGGAGGTACGAGGGCTCTGTGAGCCTTCCTGGGAAACCGGCGGTGGTCCAGACTTCTCTTGAGAGCACAACAACACAAGAGGAAACATCGGAGAGTGTCAGCTCTCTTCAGAGATTGGCGGCTCTTGCGTCGGGGAGTGAAAGCGGAGAAGTGACGGCTGGAACGCTCATTCCGAGGCCGAAGCTGATCCCGGATGTGCACCAATATGGGAGGAAACGACGGACTGGAAATCTATTCCAGTATGCACGTGAGTTTTGGATTGAGGGGATTGCGCTATGGGGGGAGGGGTGCTCATGGAGGTGCTAAGGGGCAGTGTCTTGGGGAAATATGAAGGGTTGAAAGCATGAAAGGGAGGGTTTAGCTGGGTCTGAGAATGGGTGGGGGTGAGTTAGGAGGAAGATAAGCACCGGAGTAAACCCTTCCGTCTTTGAAAACAAAATGTGTGTCTCTGCCACGTCATATGAAATCGACGCAAAAACACAACTATTTTGTCTACTTTTTAGCTCTTGCTCCCATTCTGCCTGTATTTCATACAGGCATTTGGTAGCTTACTTTTTATTTAGGATTATCTAGATATTTTGTTATCACCTTTGGCCAACGATCTAACATGCAAAGTAAGTCGTACAACGAGTCAGAAAAGCCTAACCTCCATCGTCGCTGTAGTTTCATATGACGCATATTCTCGACTTCGAATCAACGCATCAAGGTAAGATAAACCATCGACTTCTCATCCACAACGGCTGATATTTTAAAGGTAAGACATGCTTGCAAGGCAGCCAAATGGTGCTCGACCATTGTCATCATATATTCCATGGTAACTTCGTCGTTGTTGTAGGTGGATAACTAGTCCACCGGCCAGTGGTAGAAAGTGGGGACTAGAAGTGGGCCCTGTAATGGTCCACAGAGCCCCAGGTCCTACGCAGGTAAGTCGTCCGCTAATGGATTGTGCCTTCGTTTCAGCTGTTTACTTGTGTTTTCCACTAGATCTAGTCATATGAAGTGCTACTGTTGTAAACTGTTCCCGACTGTTAAATCAAAATTAAATGTTTGTTTGGTTTCAGTGCTGATCATTGATGTTCACCATACTTTTCAGAAACATCTAGAAAGATGCTGGTTTAAACATTTTTTATTTGTTGCTTTCCTCTTGCATTTTTCAAAATACTTAAGTGTGCAAGGGTAATTTCAGTTTCTGTTAAACGTATATCCTCATATGTTAAGCTGAGCTTTTAAGCTGACTTCATGACAACGTAAATATCCGCAATTGACATCTTATAACGTAGACAACGTTGTATGTGCGGAAGTATGCGTTGTGTGTTTTCAGGATCTCAACCTGAACCAGTACTTCCAAATCCCATCTACATATATTATCTGGTAAGCCTGAACCCGATTAAATAATCCCTTCCAGTCTATCTCCCTCTCCTCTAAACCATTTTCCCTAAACCATTCACCACCCAAACCGGTTTATGAAGCGTCTGCTTCCGTGTGCCTGGGGCTATGTCCTCGCTTGTTCCTGTTCCGCGATGTTACTGTTCCGTGTTATCAGCTAGGTGTGTGCCCCGGAGGTGTTCCGGGTCCTCCCTCCCCCTTGCCCCATCCCCACGTGCCCGTCTGTCTGTCTGTCTGTCTGTCTGTCTGTCTGTCTGTCTGTCTGTCTGTCCGTCTATCCGCTCCTCCCTCCCTGACCGTCAGTCCATCAGTCAGTCTGTCTGTCTGTCTGTCTGTCTGCCTTTCGACCTGTCTGTCTGTCACTGTCTGTCCGTCTGTCTGTCTGTCCGTCTGTCCGTCTATGTGTCTGTCCGAGTCAATCTAGTCTGAGTGTTAATCTAGCTGACCTTGAGCCAGATCTAGTGGATTGGGCTGTGAGCGTTAGCGGAGTTCAGATCGCGTTGGCGTGGATCTTGCCGCCGGCGGTGACGCCGTGGTGGGAGTAGGTTGGGATTGATGGTCGGTGGCTCATAGTTCTTCCGTGTGTACGAAGGATGGTTCGGCCATTCTTATTCGAGTTTTCGTTTCATTGTTTGTGTGTTTCTTTATTCGTGTTTCTCCGTTTGTTTGTTTGTTTGTTTGTTTGTTTGTTTGATTGTTTGTTTTGTTTGTGTGTTTCTTTATTCGTGTTTCTCTGTTTGTTTGTCGAGTTGTTTGTTTGCTACCTACCTCGCTCGCTTCTTTACCTATTCGTTTTATTTTTCAATCATAAGTTCGGCATTTGTTTATTGATTCCATTTTGTGTCATTTGTTTCTTCGGTGACTCGTTCGTACGCTTTGTCGTTTTGCTGATTCGTTTATTTGTCCGTTGGCATTCCTTTTGGTACGTTATTTTGCTCTACGTTATTCATACCTGTATGCGCCGACACATAATGACAGGGTAGCTTTATCATCACGTCCACTTGTTTGTCTATGTAATAGTACCTTTTGGGGTCAGCCGTGCGCGTGAACACTTTTCCTGGGTTACCTGTGTGATGCCTGAGGATGTGTATGTTTTTGGCTGTGTTAACGTGATCGCAAGTACGACAGTGCATGCCTGAACGTGACCCGATTTGACTTTAGATCGTCACGTCTGTGTTTTTCTCGTTTTTATGAATGCAACGTAATTCTACGTGTTTGATACGGATCCTAGTATGAACCCACACCTTGACGCGTCAGCCTAATACCACCACGCCAATAGAGAGCCAGTGTGAACATACCTTTACTGAACGCATCAATATCAATAGAGAGTCAGTGGGAACATACCTTTACTCAACTCATCACCCACATACCTTCAGTGGCTAGATTCACTCCCACTTTTCTCCACTGGATTCCTTTGCAAACGGACGTCTAACCGGTTTCAATGAACGAGCTAGTCTCTTATAAATCTTGCCAGTCTTTCATGCACGCTGTACCTACGCTCTCCTGCTAACGCGCGTGTTATAATCCGTTGCGTAAATGCAGATTGGTGTGCAGCGTTGCAGCCGCCGCCGCCGTGGTTTCTAAGCTCGGTCCCCACTAGGTCACCTGGACAAGGTTAACCCCTCCCCCCTCCCCTACCCCTTACCCCCTCCCCTCCCCTCCGGGACTGAAGCTGGGCTGCTCCCACGGCCGGGTTAGGTTCTTGGAGTGGGGTGGCGACTGGATTGGAATGGCTGTTACACCACCGCAGGGTTGTTGCTGTTGGTTAGTAAACTTAGCCTCTTATATTGTTTTCAATGTGTGTTTAATAAAAATATAGGTTTTGTGTAAATCACTAGGAATCATTCGGAGTTATGTCCGATGTCAAAGCCTAACTCATATGTTATTTATATTTGTAAAATGTTATTTTATCAAACACAATATATAATGCAATATATAGCGCCGGGAGGTTTTCCCTAGTGAATAATATTTCTTGATTAAAGCACTCAGAAACACTGTCCACAAATTTGTTAGTACCTATACCTCTGCAATGCTACCTCTATGGATTTCCTTTATTATACCCAGCTGTCCTCTTTGAGCGCTCAAGAGACACCTGACCCAGTTTAGCCCTCCCTCTTTCTCTCCTCTCGACCCCTCTCCTATCTCGGCGTTCCCTCGTGCTCCCTCCCCTCCCCTCTATCACGATTGGGGGGGGGGGGAGCGCCACTAGGTCACGGGACTCACGGCGGGTCACGGCGAGTCTAATGGGCGTGGCTTTATGTTTGTAGGCGTGCTTATGTCTTAGTACGTGTGGCTATACATAAGTGAAGACTGATGGCTTCGATGCTAGCGTGTTCTTGATAGTGACTTCATTCTCACTTGCAATGCCTAATTGGACAGTCTTGAAAGTACCGCATATCGGTGCGGCATGAATCAATCAAGCCTGACCCAAAAAGGGCTGCTAAATTTGATTATCGCCGAACCAGCTCACATCTTCTTCCATCCCCCATGTTAAATGCTTCGTGACTCTCACATTTAGCAGCCATTCCTCAGTCGGACTTAATAATCCACTGCACTGTTGCGCGGTACTTTTAAGACAAACTGTACATGACATTGAATCCCTACCTTATATCAGGCGACCAGGCGTGACCCACCGATACGCCCCGCTCCCCCACAGCCGATAAGGGGTGGCCTGCTAAGACTGGTTTTTAGAACACGGTGACCAGACGCGATACAGGTTACGCCCAAATCTCTGCCCAAAACTGGCCGAGCCTGATGTAACTATAATTTCAGGATATGAGTCATGGGGTCAAGATGGGGCAAGTGGAGAGATTGTGGCTATTCGGACAATGTTAGAACTTTGCTTCTTATGTAATTATACTTTTTCGTCTACTAGTCATTCATTAGGTAACCCAAGCAGTAAATGACAATGGGGCAGGATTAAACGTATGCCCCCCAAAAAGATGGGCACTGGTTAAATGTAACAGTGAACCCAGGTTGCTTTAGGTATTGTACTGACAGTACTTGCACTTCCACAAAACAAACTACCAAAACAGTTGATTTGATAGTTTGTTTCGTGGAAGTCCACGTACTGTCAATACAATGGTTACCTACTTGTCCAAATAAAACTACTGCTTGCTTTAGTAGTATGGCAATCAGTTGCATATTGCCAAACTTCCAAGACACGCCCATTTAACACAATTGCAAGCTGTGACCTTGCACATTGGATACACATACACAATGCAATGACGAAACATGTCATTTCACAATCCGAACTCAAATCTACACACTTTGATAACAGTATCACAATATTCCGTGGATTGGTCCAGCTCCCTTGGTTTTTACATCTGGTCGTATGTTACTTGTGTATGCTACAACTGCCACTCTATGCAGTTCACGGTCTTGCTTTTAAGACCGTGAGTTTTAGCCGTGATTGAAATTATCGCACCGTGAGGCTGTGGCTATGTGAAAAGCTGTGATTTGTGTGAGTATGGCTGTGGTTTTGGGTCTGGACCGATGTTGCTAGGGTTTACTTCACCGTGTACGTACACATAGTTCACGGCCTTGATTTTGAACTGCGGGAGTCACGGCCGTGATTTTCAAACCGTGAGTTTTAGTGGTGATTTAACGTTATTGCACTACTGGTTACTTGCTGGCTCAGAGGCGATGTGATTTCAATAGGTGCTGTTCCCTTGTTCCACATGTTGTCAATAGAATTGTTCCAGTTGTTCCCTGGTTTACCAATGTGCGCATATGTCACAGTGTGAGTCTATGAGACTTGGTAGAAGACTCTAGCAGCCCCCACTGTGTGACCTGTGCTGTGTACTGCTAGTTTACTTACCCCTACCCTTCTACCCCGCGCTTCGTCCCTCCTCTATCTACCTCTGTGGATCGGTCCCTGAAGAGGTGGATATACACTATGACATATATGTACTCTGATGCTGGGTTCAGGGTGATGTTTTTTTAGGAAACGGTTATAAACTCATAAATCCAACTATGAAACCTGACTCCTCAGTCCTCATGCATTGAATTCATACGAGCTTCAGCTGACCTTTTTATCCCTATTCCCTTACTGACCAATGACCTCGATGACCTCTGGCCTCGCTAAGCGACCTTTGTTGACCTTTGGCCCTCCTTTTTCGCAAAGGGCTCGTTTATGAGTTCAGCTAGCATCCCCTGCTGGCTGACCTATGCTGGCATTTAACCTCGTATGCATTGACCTTCGAGTGTATTCCTCGCGACCTCTGAACCCTTCTGACCTACCTTTGCTGACCTTTGACCCGGTATTTTCACAGAGGGCCAAGTCGAGGTCTCCAAAGATGGGAGGACCCTCAGTCAGATGGGACCGGGGAAGGTGTTTGGAGAGCTGGCCATACTCTACAACTGCCAGAGGACGGCCACCATCAAAGGTCAGATTTGTGGCGTGGAACATGGGGTTGTGACCTTTATTGACTAGTAGCTTCCGATAAATGTTGGTTTTGTATCGTACAACATCGAATTGTGAGCCTTATTGACTAGGATCTTACATTAAAGATGAGATTTTTATCTTACAACATTGACTTGTGGCGCTTATCGACTATTAAAAGAATGGCTACCATTAAAAGCCACTAAAGGAATATCAGCGATATGATCATAATATCATTTAAATATATGTAATTTTGATATAAAAATATACTAATTACAATTTTTACGGTTACAGAAATCCCAATAAAAGACCCCATTTAAAATATGTGTAATTGTGTGCGTGCCTTTCTACGCTTGCATATTATGTGTACCTATTCCTGCCGCTCTCTGTATCTATCTTGTTTGTATATTCTCTCACATTACCCCCTCCCCCTCCCCCTACAGCGGCCACCGACTGCAAGCTGTTTGCCATCGAGCGGCAATGTTTCCAAACCATCATGATGAGAACTGGCCTTCAAAAGCAGGCAGAGTACACGGCCTTCCTGAAGAGGTGAGGCATTCGCTAAAGCTCGCTTTATATCGTGCTGTACCTTATAGTTCTCTCGAAGCGGGACTAGTTAAACAGCTGTCTTCAAGATCTGAGGCGGAAGTAAAAGCTTAGTTTATGAATTATGCCTTGTAAAGCTCTTTTAGTGAATATCAGATTGACATGATATGTAAAAATGCAAGTGTCAGTAAGGCCGTTCCGTCGCTCATTACATTGTAAAAAAAAAACACTTTAACTCCCTTAACTTTAACTTAAGGTAGGGAGTTAAAGTGTTTTTTTTTTTTACAACGTAATGAGCGACGGAACGGCCTTGCTGACACTTGCATTTTTACACATCTGTCAAATAATTATATTTGACATGATATGTGCTGTAGGTATATCAGGTCTGCTTTCCCTGTGCACTTCCTGAAGGAGTGAATGTACAGTCACTTCATACTGTATCAAGTTCATGTCGTGAAGCAAAGTCGTCCATCAAATGGATGACCACAATTCTATGTTGCAATTTGTTTTATTGCATGCTACCAATTTTGACTTGCCCCATTATATCCGGTTTTCTGAACAATGATGCTATTTCGTCCATCTATCCGTCTTCTTGTCCTCAGGATTAACCCTGATCCTGATCCTTGATCACCTATACTACTGCTGTGAGGCTGAAGATCTCACCGTCACAGCGGTAAGGGAGTAGCGCTCATCCCTCTAGCTATAGGGAGTAGCTATTCCGTTCAGCTCCTATAGGGACGCTGTCTCTGTGGGATGGCCTTTTGAGGCACCGAGTGTTCTCAGTGCTCTCCCATCGGACGATCCTCTCCCATCGGGACACACCTATCCCAGCGGGACGTTCTTGTCCCACCGGGACGTTCTTGTCCCATCGGACGCTCTTGTCCAACCGGGACGCTCTTGTCCCAGCGAAATGGGTTCAGCCGCTGCGGCGCACTAGCCGTTGGTCGAATATCTGCCAAATGTTTTCCAGCATTCTCTCATCTCTTGGTCCCCGTATTACCATAAAATGAAGAGTTCATTATCAACAAACCAAATCAGTTTTGATAAGTCTTGTTCTTCAAGTTTTACCCCTTAGCCATTTCATTTGTCACCACATGGTTGCTGCAATAAGTAAGAGCGTGTGGGCTATAATTTACGCCGACACTTTGGGCGACGTAGCATGATAACTAATATATATGTAAATACACAGATATATATATATATATATATATATATATATATATATATATATATATATATATATATATATATATATATATATATATATATATATATATATATATATATATATATATATATATATATATATATATATATAAATCTCAGTGACTTATCTGTCTCTGACTCCGCCTCCTCTGTCTCTGTCTCTGTCTGTCTGTCTGTCTGTCTGTCTGTCTGTCTGTCTGTCTCTGTCTCTGTCTCTGTCTCTCTCTCTCTCTCTCTCTGTCTCTCTCTCTCTCTCTCTCTCTCTCTCTCTCTCTCTCTCTCTCTCTCTCTCTCTCTCTCTCTCTCTCTCTCTCTCTCTCTCTCTCTCTCTCTCCCACCCCCTCTCTGTATCCTTACATGCTCTGGATGATAGCTAACATTTCAATTAACATGTTTTTGTTTTGGCAGCGTGCCAAGCTTCCAGAACCTGCCAGAAGAAACTGTCATCAAGCTGGCCGACGTTCTAGAAGAGGTAAGAAAAGCCGAGTCGGTGTTTCTCACAAAACTTTCAAGACAAGTAAAGTTAGATTTTTTAAAGACTATGCCTACTTACTTCTGTGTACCTACCGCAATGAATGCAACTACAGTAGATGAAGCCTGTCTTATCGCTTTAATTAACCCGCGAGTTGCTGGGGGGGGGGGGGGGGCGTTAAACGCCCCCACTTTTTTCGCCGGGCCATAGCATAAAAACGGCGCGCCGCAGGCGCGCCAAATTTTGGGTACCTGTAGGAAATTGATTGAAGTTTATTGTGACAAAGTTTCAAAAAAATCAGTCGGAAAATTTTTGAGATATCGAGGTTTTAGTGACGTCATGATTTCTGAGTTTTCGACCAAAAACGGCATATGTTCAAAAAATCATATAAAATCACAGAATAGACATATAGACATGCCGTAAATGCCATTAGACTGCCAATACCATGAAGAATCAAATGGCTATCTTCGATTATTGATTATCGTTCCGCATTTTCCAAAATCTTGAACTGAATCTTGGCAATTTCTCGTGACTACTTCACGACCATGATACATGAATATCTTAAATTGAACTTTTTTAGCCAAACACGTACACATATGATAAAATGAATGTCACCATCGTGTTCTACGCCCCAAATTACCCATAAAACATGTGTCACAGGCTGCGAATATCAGTTTTTATTTTCGGGGATATGCACCCGCCCGGTTGACCTGACCTTGACCCTGACCTATGCTTGACTGACCCCTGCATGGAGCTGACACTCTTGTAGGCCTTATATGATGGATTGTGCACCGTTTTGACAGAGTTTATGACGAGAGGCGCCCATTGCGAAGTCCTGAAGTCCATGCTACTGAAAGCCCGATTTCAGGTGTTTGACCTGACCTTGACCTGACCTGTGACCTCAAAATTCAACTTAAAAGTACTCATCTGAAGCGTCTCGTCGCGTTCTTTCGTTTGCCGCCTCGTGCGTTTCGCTGCGCCTATTGGTTCTCGAGTTATCGGCTGGGGGCGTTTAACGCCCCCCCCCCCCAGCAAACGGTGGGTGGCGAAATACCCCAGCAACTGCCGGGTTAAGTGTTTTAATGAAAAGCGAACGTGAAGCGTGAATGCCTTGAACAGCGTCCAGCTGAAAATATCATGTAGGTATAGTTTGTTTTTATGTTCGACTTTCACTGTAGGTATACCTCTTTTTGAACACTGCCGAGATTTGCTAGCGAGATTTGATGTCTCCTTATTTATTCGTTTATTTGCTCAATCGCCAACAGAGCAATATCCACTTATGGACAAAGTCATAGTCTAATGAGAGTAGTAAGGAGACGTGTTATCTGTTTCTGTCTAGTTGAGGTTTATATGCCATTGGGTCACAGTGCAAGGTTATTTCTATACCGCACTCCATTGAGATGCAAAGATAATAATTTGTTATCCTTGCACCCCTCTGAGCTGCGCAAGCAAAGATTAAGTCTCTAGGGTTCATGCAAAAAATCACTCGTGCAGAAAGATCGGGTAGGTATCTTTTCTTCGCGTGTTCCAGAAAACCTCGCTCCTTCTTCGCTCGTTTTTCTTTCAGTAACCCGCTTGGAAAAGCTATCCTTATCTTCCACTCGGAGCCATGAAGAATCCTCTGTATCTTGCTAACGTTGTTGTTGTTTTTTTCAGACGTACTACAGTCAGGGCGACTACATCATACGACAGGGAGCCCGCGGAGACACCTTCTACATCATCAGCCGGGGACGGGTCAGTAATCGGTGACGTCACTGTGATGTGTGTTTGTGGGACGTCAGTGGTATGCTCTGTGACGTCTTATGTGATGTCAAATACGGAACATTTGGAAATCGATACTATACCAACTACCAACGGAAACAATAGAATAATACCGAAAACCGAATCTAATTGTAAAACTAATGGAAATGCGAACTTTTTGCCAAGTACGGAGCATCTTATATATAACTGATGGTTCCTAATACCAACAAAATACCAAATGCATGAGGTTTGAAATACTAAATCCCAAGTTGGGATCGGTTTGGTATCGGTAAATTAAAAAGGTGGTATCCGATTGACATCACTTGTGACGTCATATATGATGTGGCGGTCCATGGTGATGGGATGTCAGTGATGTTTTATGTGACGTTGATATCAGCGATGTAATGCAAGGCGTCATAAATGATGTGACGTTATGAATGAGGTGATGTGATGTGGTGTGTGACTATATATGTATGTATTTACCTACATGTGTTGAGTTCGGAAATTATTACGGAGCGAGCGAAGCGAGCGGAGTCTCATACTGAATTAAGGGAAAATCCTGAGTATGAGCCCGGCCGTGGGGACGCTCTTCAAAAGCTAATATCTTAGGAACGGGACATCCGATTGACAAGCGGTCTTTTTTACTGAATGTCACTTGGACGTAAAAGTTCTGTGGTGTGATGGCCACCATGCGTTCTTGCCTACCACCGCACGTGGCGCGTGGTAAAGTTGGACATTTTTTAAGAACCCCCAAAATTGCAACCTCAATAACGGCACAACGGTTGGGCCGATTGAATTGAAACTCGGTACACAGTTAGGTCTCCATCAGATAATTCATCTGCATGTGTTAAGGTTGGGGTGCTACAGCACGTGCGCACGTGCAGGGGGCGCTCCCAGATCTCGAGAACGACTGGGCCGATTGCGCTCAAATTTGGTACACGGTTGGGGACCAGTTAGTAGGGTGCCGTGCAAAAGTCAGTTTGGACCCCGCTTGCACGTGCGCACGTGCAGTGTGCCTCTTCCAGATCTCGAGAACGGCTAGGCCGATTGCGCTGAAATTTGGCACATCGCTAAAGACCGGTTAGTAGGGTGCAGTGCACAAGTTAGTTGGAGGTACCCCCTCGCAATTTCGCACGTGCAAGGCCCATCCTCTCGCTTGCTCCGTTGGTCGCCCAAAAGGCGTTTTACTGGTTTCATATTGGCTTTGACTGTGGAGTGATTGGCAATGTAAAAACTAACGCGAGTAAATAGTAGTGACGCATGCTTGTAAAAAAAAAATGACTCGGGAGCAATAAATTACGTATCGCAAGGTACGAAGGACGAAAATACTTGCGGAAATGCTCAAACGTAAAATAACGTAAGCGAATGTACATACCTAAGGATAAAAATTAAAAGTACATACCGGTAAGAACCTGGTTTTACCTGACCAAATTTAACCTGTCACATGACCTACCTAACCCTATGTTATACATTTCTACATTCGTACGCTGTACCTTACGTACATTTGCGATAATTGTTTTGTCTTAAGTCCTGTTGATGATGCATTTTTGCCACACGAGCATCTTCGATACGTACTCGTACTTTTCTCTAAAACCCGTAAAATTTGCATCTCTCCCGCCCCGAATCACTATGATGCAATACAACCGGTCCCCGCTTCGCTGTGTCCATGACCTTCGATATGACCTTGACCCCTTGCTGACCCCAGGTCAACGTCACCATGAGGTCACCCGACTCGATGGAGGAAAAGCTGATCCGAACGCTCGGAAAAGGAGACTTCTTCGGCGAGAAAGCGCTCCAGGGGTTAGTGCTGCCACCTGCTGAGAGGGGCGGGAACTGTAGTTGGGCGGATTGTGCCGTGATGGCGCTACTTGAATGTGCTTGTATGAACTCGTATGCCGTCGTGTAAGCAACACGGCGCCCACGGTATACAAGATCATCCCTACCATCCCTACATGGCGACTATTCAATCCCAAAACTTCATGAATGCAGTGGCGGATCCAGGGGGGGGGGGGCAAAATGGGCATTTGCCCCCCCCCCAAACGGCATAATTATAACATTACGCCTATGGACGAGGCATGGAAAGAATCGATAAATTGTTATGGTTTGCCCCCCCCCCAAAAAAAAAAACTCTGAGCTGGATCCGCCTCTGCATGAATGAGAAATGCGTGTGTATTTGAGTTGTAACCTCGTTTGACTCCAAATGACCCTGCACCTCCGGTTTGTTTGTGGTTTGTTTGTTTGTTTGTTTGTTTGTTTGTTTGTTTGTTTGTTTGTTTGTTTGTTTGTTTGTTTGTCTCGTTGCGTCTGACCGGAGGTTAGACTTTTTGGTCTGACTGACCAGACCATTTCAGAGCGGAGGGGTGATAGGAATTAGGGGGAGACATTGGTACCCTGGTGACCCGGTGAGGCCTGAGCCCATGCAGTGGACAGGCTACCCAACCCCCCGACACTCACCACGTCCGGCTTCGGGCCTGCTCCTGAAGGACCTATCCGCATGGGATAGCGCTGCCCGTCCAGCCCGGAACAGGGGGTGGAGACGTGAAGGAAAATGATTTCACTGTCCTGCGGAACGGATGTGACAGTTCTCCCTTGACTTTTCCCGTGACGTGACCTCCTGTCTGACCTATCGTACGCCCTCCTGCCTTCAGTGAGGATATTCGCACTGCCAACATCGTGGCCGACGACCCCGACGGCGTGGCCTGTCTTGTCATCGATCACGACACGTTCGATCAGCTCATCAGCAGACTGGAGGAGGTCAAGAACCGATATGTTGACGAGAGTCAGCTCAGAAAACAGTGAGTGGCGGTGCTGACATCTAGCGGGGGTTTGGTGCTGACATCTGGCGAGGTATTGGGGAAACATTGGTGACTGGGGTGCTGACATCTAGTGGGGGATGGGGGAAACATTGGGTGAGTGATAGCGCTGACTTATGTGGGATGTATTTACGGCGAATAAGAACTCGTTTGAGCCTTATGATTTTCCAGACCCAGGTATTCAGAAGCTTATCACTATCTTACAGTGATGTATGTGTGTTTGCGGGAAGGGGGAGGGGGTAAATTTCGGTCGGCAATAGTTCAGGTTGACTTGCAAACTTCATTTGAAGTTGTGAAAAAGTAAGCGCTGTATTCGGGACAAGCATATTGTCAGCTGAATAATGAAGCCGGTAATTCAGATATAATGCCTTGAAAGATAAGGGGCTTTCCACTTTATATCCGGAAACAGTGGACTTTGAGTGTAGGTACCCCGGTGCTCTTCGGGGTTATTTTGCATGTTTTGTCCAAAAGTTGAATAGGTGGACAACCTTGGCGTCACCCATGAGTTAGTACCGATTTGTGGCACTTTGGCTGCTTAGTGTCAGTCGTAGCTTGAAATGCATGTCTGAAGTGAAATGTGTCTCGTAAGTCATTAAAATGCCCCGTTTGATATTTTAATTCAAAATGAAATGGGGTGTTAACGAAGTTCTTGTGTGGCATGGAATTCCCAGTCCTGTCTCAGGATAGTCTTTAGGAGAGTAAATCGCGACTTTCTGCAGCGCATGGCCTACCACTTGCCCTATCTTTCAGGAGTATACCGTTCTTTGACGAACCAGATACGAAGGAATCCGATCACAGGTTGATTTGATGCTATAGTATTGAGTACCACTAACCTCTTATAGTCTGGCAAACCCAAGAAAGAACGGAGCTAGAGCACCTTGGAGTTCTTTACACGTGCATTGGATAATGGAGATAATATAGGTACCTGTGTTTTAAGACTGTTGACTGAAAGAAATGAAAGAACTATCGGGCGTATAGGAAAGTGAATATACGGGCACGTGCATCAGTAACTGTTGCGCTTTGAATCCGTTCTTTTTTATGTTTGTCAGACTGAACTGTTGTGTCGTGAATTAACCAGGGGTGCGATAGCTTTAGATGTATGCCGTCATACAAAAAAAGATACCCAGTATCCATGTAACTGTCAGCTGAAGTCAGCAACATAATATCTGTTTCATAAACATCTAATCGCACCAGCTAATCGCACATAACAAACCACAGTTATAAATGTGTATTATTCGAATTTTGACTCGTAACATTTTTCAAAGTTCCCAAGATGAACACTTGCTATTTTCTTTCACGACGCATTCCCATTTACACTTGGGTACAACACTTTGGCATCATATTTTTTAGGGTGTGAAAGACCGTCTACCCAAATATGCTTGCCTAATATTTGATAGATGTTTCCTCTTTCTTTTTCGGATGCCGAGCATATACGTTTGCTGTACATACAATACAAGCTCGTGATAGGCACATTTTGTAACAGGCTACAAATTACAATACGATGCAGCTTTTGACACAGTAGTACCTACGACTAGCGGTAGCACTAGTAAACATGATTGCTTACGAATTTTATTACTCTGTGATGGTATTTGCATTTTATTATGATTTAATTTTTATTGCCACTAATTGCATCCACACGTAAGAAAAGCTGCTCCCCCTACAAGGGTTCACAATCATACACGAGTCATCATCTACCGAAGGGATGACCTCACCTTGTTTTTCTCTGCCTAGCGGAATGTTACTTCCGAACATATTCGTACATATCAATTAGTTTATTTGAGCAAATCCACAAATTTGACGTTACAAGATGGTCGACCACCTTGTTGATTTCGGGAAGGCGTATGTGGTTTATCCATAAGCTTATGCTCAGCTTTCAATACATTGTCATATAGACAAAACGTTACCACTTGTATTGATGTTTTATACCATGTTGTTGGACGCAGTTTTCAGGATTGTCTGACTAATGTGTGGTTAGTGTGTTGAAACCGCTTTATTTCTTACATACTTCTCTTACCCTTCGTCCTTTGAGTGTTACTTTAGTAAATCATTTTTCGTATGTTTCTCTTCTCTCAGAATTAACTGTTACTTTACCGACGTCATTCCCCACGAATTCCCAAAGGTCCCCACGAATTTCCTACTATTAACCCAATTATCCCCTATTAACCCCTCTGTTACTCCCTCAGAAGCAACCATATATTTCCCGACCTCACTACCCTCCAAGAAATCCTCTATATTCCCCCAATAACCCCCCCATAGCCCTACCATGACTCCCTCAGAATCAACCGCGAGTTTGCTGACGTCACTCCCTCATATTCCCCCAATAACCCCCAATAACCCCTCTATTACTCCCTCAGAATCAACCGCGAGTTTGCTGACGTCACTCCTATATATTCTCCCAATCCCCCTATTAACCCCTATTACTCCCTCAGAATCAACCGTGAGTTTGCGGACGTCACTCCCCCATATCCCCCCAATAACCCCTCTATTACTCCCTCAGAATCAACCGTGAGTTTGCTTGTGAGTTTGCTTGTGGGAGTATGGGAGAGTGACGTCACTCTCCCATACTCCCCCCAATAACCCCCAATAACCCCTCTATGACTCCCTCAGAATCAACCGCGAGTTTGCTGACGTCAAGCTCTCGGATCTGGCGGTGATTGCCACGCTCGGAGTCGGAGGGTTCGGACGGGTAGAGCTGGTTCAGATGGTACACGACAAGTCTAGGTCGTTTGCACTGAAACAGATGAAGAAAGCACAGGTGAGTGGAGGGTAGAAAAGGGGTAGAGGGGAGAGGGGGTGGAGGAGGCCATAGAGCGTTAGAGGAGGGGGCTAGACAGTGGTTTTAATCATAAGTTGGATTGGATATAAATGGAGTGAATACTGGATTGTATAATATGTTGTATAATGTGTTGGCCGTTGGGTTAGCTGGATTATTTGTCGGATAACCTGCAGTGGCGGCGGAAGCAGGGGGGCAAGGGGGGCAGCTGCACCCTAAAGCTATGGAAAGGGGCGCCTCGAAAATCTGTAGAGGAGGCAGGAAGTTAAGAGGTGCGGCAGCCATAAAGCTGAGCAGTGCGAGGCGACACCGTAACTGATAAAGGCACTTGTGACACGAAGAGGGTGGCAATGAAGTGGGAAAAGTATCTTTTGATATGCTGAAGAGTGGAGGGCATCCTTATCTGAAACAAAGGCAGATGCTGCCGACCCTGTCGAATATAATCTTGCCAGGCGATAAAGGCTAGGAGGGCGCAGCTACTCGAGAAGCGCGCCATGCGGAAGAGGGGCGCCTGCATGCGAAAGAGGGGCGCCTGTGTGTGGGACGAAAAAGAAACATTTGGAGACGTCTTTGAAGGCGATAGCCTCCGAACGCCAACACGAACATATGAGGGATTATAGCGTTGCAGGCTCCATGCGACAAAAAGGGGCGCCTGATGGCCGATATGCGAGAGGAAATTAGTTTGTGTAACATTTATCGGGGGCGGTTTGCCGTTTACAACATATGAATGTTAAGGGAGGTCCGAGATTGGGGCCTGTAAAATTGCACTGTCCGTATGGGCGGTTACACCCCTAGTGCTAGGGCGTATTTTGCATTTTTTTTACTGGGGAGATGATTATGACCAGGAATAGCACTCTGCAAACTTCTATGGGCGCCTGTATAGGGGCGAAACTGATTTTCCAGTGCAGGGACGGCCATCGGCATGGTAAGGGGCGCCCAGCGGGAAGGGGCGCTTCAATATCGTTTGCACCCCTATCCTTGAATACCTTCCGCCGCCACTGATAACCTGCTCGATGAGGTGGGTTATTAGTTTGATACTGGGCTGTGAATAATGGGTTGGATAGTAGGCTGGATAATGGTTCCGATAATAGGTTGGATAATGATTTGAATATGTGATGGATCATGAGTTTGGCAGTTAACGAGGCATGTGAAGTGGGCGCCTGGGTTGGAATGATGCAGGATTATTGCATTGTTTGTTATGTCGCAGTTAGGTCAATAAAAAATGATGTTTGATTAAAATTATCAGATTTTGCTATTTTCTCCGTAAAGATGACATGCTATACAAATTCTATTACTTTCAGACCCCCCTCGAAATTATCCGTTAAACATTTCCTCCCAACTCACCAAAAACATTAGCTCATCTCGGGGTTTGAACCCTCGCCTCCCTCAGATTGTGGAGACGCGTCAGCAGCAGCACATCATGTCCGAAAAGGAGATCATGGAAGAAGCCAACTGCGATTTCATCGTCAAGCTGTACAAGACGTTCAAGGACAGGAAGTACCTCTACATGTTGATGGAGTCGTGTATGGGAGGAGAACTGTGGACCATACTCAGGTGGGCAGTCACAGAGATGTGGACAACTGGGGTATTATACAAGCGATCTTACTCGCTTCGCGTCGCCATTGAGCCTTTGATTTGGGATCGATATTGCATGGACGGAGGGCTTTATACTTAATATTTACAGCTAGTTAATCCTATTCGCTGCCCAAGTGTATAAACTCTCCTCTCTCTCTCTCTCTCTCTCTCTCTCTCTCTCTCTCTCTCTCTCTCTCTCTCTCTCTCTCTCTCTCTCTCTCTCTCTCTCTCTCTCTCTCTCTCTCTCCTCTCTCTTTCTCTCTCTTTCTCTCTCTCTCTCTCTTTCTCCAGTCATTTTTACATGTCTGTTTTTTCCTTTTTAACCCGCGCCCTGCTGGGGGGGGTGTTTGAACACCCCCCTTGTGGTTTTTCGCGAATATCTCAAAAACGGCGGCGCGGAGCGCCGCCGTTTTATCATACATCAATTCTACACATGTTGTGAAAATTTCAGACCAAGGTCATTCAAGGTCAGGTCACCAGGGCACTTGAAGTGACCTCACCTCATAAAAAGTGTTAATGTCTGTCATAGCTACACCGAGTAACCGATCACTTTGAAACTTTCAGCGATTGATAAGAGCAATAGCATGTACAAAATGTATATCTCAGAATTTTGATATCGGTGACCTAAGGTCAGGTCAATTTTGCGACCTCCCCATTATAAGTCAATGGGAGAAAATTGAAATGCGCCTCTTTTGGACGAAAGACATTATGAACACTCCCAAACACCAAATTGCAATTGGTTTCGACACACTGAACATGAAAATGGTGTCCGTGACGCTTGTTTATGCCCTGAGGTCATCTTAGGTCACGAATGGTATCTAACAGTTTTTCGCAAATAACTTTTGATAGAGGCATGCTAGAGCGATGAAAACGCCTTATATGTGTTCAGCTCGACGATACGGATCGACTGATATGCAACATGACCCTTTCCGGTCAGGTCATGACCTTGACCTGAGGTCAAATTTTCAAGTTGACCTTTCAAGGTCAAGTTATAGTTCATTCGATGCGTCTTGACGAGAGGAACACGATGCCGGTGAAAGTAAGCTCGTACAAGGCTTGGGTCAAAAGTTATTGCAGAAAAACTGTTTCCGAAAAAATCGGCTATTTTTGCAGTTTTTGCCCCCTGCAGGCAAAACCGTTGACGTTAGGTCAAATCTGAGAGAATTATTCAGAAAGGGCGTTAATAGGGTTATCGAATGCGCTTTTCCGCGGCGCTGTAGCTCTATTGGTTCCCGAGTTATGCGTTGGCTTTTTGGAAATTTTCGACATTCGACCTGGAAATCGGCGAAATTTTGCCTTCAATGACCTCTGGTGACCTGACCTTTGACCTGACCAAAAAATTGACCGAAGTGATTTCGTCTTTATTTTTTACGCTCTTTCGAACGCCGCCTTCCGCGTATCGCTACGTGGCTCAGGAGCCGAGTTACAAGGGGGGGTGTTCAAACACCCCCCCCAGCAGGGCGTGGAAATCCAGGACCCCCAGCAGGGCGCGGGTTAACCTTTCTTGTGGAATCTTGACATTAGGAAGTCGTGTTTAGCCCTCTTTTTACCTCTATTTTGTATTACCTCCGTCAGGGACCGAGGCAACTTTGACGACGCCACAACACGCTTCTACACCGCCTGCGTAGTGGAGGCGTTCGACTATCTGCACGCACGAGGGATCATCTATCGCGATCTCAAACCCGAGAACCTGCTGCTCGACAACAGGGGCTATGTGAAACTGGTGGACTTTGGGTTCGCCAAAAAACTGCTGGTGAGGAGATGAGAACGGGAAGGAAAAGGGAAGAGAGAAGGAAGGAGAGGAGAGGAGAGCTAGGGGAGTTGCACATTACGAACGTGTGCCGGTGTCCCTTTTTGTCAATGTGTAGTCCTATCGCGGTTTAACTTGTGCCCCTTCTCTCTTCAGGTCTGCGTGAAGACGTGGACAAGTATATTGTTTAATAGGATGTGCCCCTCCCTCGTCAATATAGGACTTACTCTGGTTTAATAACGTGTGCCAAAGGTCGGTCGGAAGACTTGTAGTTCTGTGGTTTGATGACGTGTACCCCTTCCTCGTCAAACATGACCTTGTTGTGGTTTAATAACGTGTGCCCTCACAGGTCGGCCGGAAGACGTGGACGTTCTGCGGGTTAATGACGCGTGCCCCTCCCTCGTCATGACATGACCATGCCGTGTGCCCTCACAGGTCGGCCGGAAGACGTGGACTTTCTGTGGAACTCCGGAATATGTGGCGCCAGAGATTATCCTGAACAAGGGTCACGACATCTCAGCCGACTACTGGTCGCTGGGAGTACTGATGTTTGAACTACTCACTGGTAGGTGCACTAGCCAACTGGTACACGGACAAGGATAATACGCACTGGTTGCCGGGGTACCGATGTTTGAACTGCAATGCTGGTTTTTAGCTGCTAGCTTAGAGAACTAAACAATAAACTAATATAATGAAACTAATGAACTGGTATAATTGAACTCTTCACTGGGGTTACTCATCTTTGAAATGCTGATTAGCACGTGAACTAGCTACCTGGTACACCGACACTCGACAGCGATGGGAAACTAGCTGAGCCGCATTTCCTAACCTTCAGCCTTGCTGCGGATTGCATGCCGTAGCCACCCTCCCATCTCCCCTATATTTTTCTTCCCCCGGGAACGCCCCTATAGACCTCGACTTCCTTAGGAACTAACCTCCCTTCTTTTTCCCTTGAATGCCCCAACTAACCCCTTTATCTTCCCCCAGGAACGCCACCATTCACCGGACCCGACCCCATGAAAACCTACAACATCATCCTGAAGGGGATCGACGCCATTGAGTTTCCTCGCAACATCACCCGAACCGCCACCGTGCTCATCAAGAAACTGTGCAGAGACAACCCGGCCGAGCGACTGGGGTACCAGAAGGGCGGCATCCGGGACATCCAGAAACACAAGTAAGGAGGGGGCGACACATGAAGGGACTGGGGTACCAGAAGGGCGGGATTCGGAACATCCAGAAACACAAGTAAGCAGCGGGGCGACACATAGAGCGACTGGGGTACCAGAAGGGAGACATCAGGGACATCCAAAAACACAAGTAAGGAGCGGGGCGAGACATAGAGGCAGTGTCAGAAAAGTGGTTTGGGGATCTAAGTTCGCAGACTAAAATTTTGAAAAGGTCGCAGAACAAAGTTGGAACTTAGCTATGGTTCCAAAATTTTTAATGAAGCTACTGCATTATATTAGTTTCTTTTTAGCATAATGGGCAGAAATTGTTGAAATGCAGCACATATCAAAGTGAAACACCTGCACATGACCAACATGCAATGGTAATCATTAAGCAGGCACCTCACGAGATGCCAGATCTGTCTACGATAGCAATGTAGGTTGTAGGTTGTAGGTGTTAGGCTTGTAGGTTGTAGGCTAGTAGGTAAGGTTAGGTCAGGTTAGATTATGTTTCAGATCTGGCATCTCGTGAGACGCCTGCTTAATGAATCCCCATGCAATCTTGTATCTACTTAATAGGCAGGTAGCCTACATTGCCATTGCTCAAGTATAATGATGCATACCTATATAAATATTAATATTTCACATTTGCCTAATTTTAACAAGGGAAATCCAAAAACATATAACTAAATGCAAGAAAACAATCTTAACCCACCAGAAGGCTACTAATGTGAAAGCAGCTACCCTTGGATATCACTTTCTTAGCCTAGGTAGAAGTGAAGGTATAATCAAGAAAGGGAGAAGTTAAGACAAACTGAAACACATGGTTTATGTTAAGTATTACCATTACCTGAGCTTGTTACAAAAATAGACATGAACAATCCATCCCACCTCAGATTCCTTGAACGAAGATGGTCGAAGTCGAATGAGTCTCAGTATCTCAGCCTTTAAACAAAAATCATATTGTTGAGTATGAAAAAACGAGAAAAATTGCACATAAACATTTAGCTATTTAACTACCCCACGAAAACTCACGCAAATTGCGAGACTAACCCGGCGCAGTCGCGTAAAAGCGCGCGGAGACGCGCCAGACAGCGCTGCCTAGTCTGAGAATGTATTTATTTTTTAAAAAGTATTTGTTGCTAGTTAAGTTCATTACCGAATGACAAAAACGATTTTGATGTTCAATTTATTTTAATACAAAATTTAATGAATAATATGCAGCACAAAATAATGCCTTCGGTCGATTTATTACAAGTTAAGATATCTTACTGCCATGAGTTCGAGAAAAATAAAAAAAGTCATTTTTTTGTGTAATTCAGATGGGAAAAGGGCATCAAAAAGACAGTAACTGTTTATTTTGTTCATTTCAATATCATTCACAAAAATTTTGCCATAAATTCGTCCAAGTTCTCTTATGCCGGCACCAAAAAGGTGATACCTCAAAAGACGCTGTCACTTATTATCCCCATACGCATTTTTTTGCTCATTTTTACGAAACAAAAACTATTCTATAACTTTTTCCAATCAATTTCCATTCTAGCCATACCTTGTTTTGCAATGAATGATGTCTAGGTGTCTTAAACGATCCAAGTTAAGCTGACCTTAGCAGGCACGGAACGACCCCGCAGACTAACGTAAAATATGGGCATCACACGTTATGAAATTGCTAAATTTTGACATTTTTGAAAAGAAAAATCTTTTTTACATCTACTGATATCATTTTTTCATACTTTACTGCAATTGGGAACTTTTACCAGGGGATAGTCTGCCACCACGGAAACACCAAATATGTTCTGCGAGAACTCAGAAAAAGTTTGCGCCCGGTTGCGTTATGAAGGGAGCCGGGCGGGGAGCGAGCTTGTTGGTGCGGCGATGGCAGTGTTTTAGACGTCAAAAGGCCAAGGCTTATGACTCGTCTCCCGACTCGCGTGTTATTTTTGTGATTTGTTTGGTACCTTCGTTTGATTTGTGTGAGAATGTGATTTTAAAGGTAGGATAGGTTGTGCTGATATATGTATTCCAGTACCCATAATTTTCTGATAGCATTTAGGTACTACTCACTAGCTTGGTAAATGTGTCATTTCTCAGAACAGTGTACATCAACATGTAAATTAATCAAGCTGAGCTTTTCAGGTTTATCTCGCCTGACTACGTAAAGTTTGCATATCCATTTGGGGCATTGCCCATTTACTACTCACTAGCTTGGTAGTGTTGTTTCTCAGACCAGTGTACGTGTAAATTAATCAAGCTTTTCAGGTTTATCTCACCTGACTACGTTATTAACTTGAACTGCTGTTGCCTGTCAGTTAATTTTTTTAAGCATTCACTACTTTGTAGGCACTGCATGCTAATATGGATATGAAATCGAGCTTTTCAGGTTTATCTCACCTGATTACGTTAAGTTCGCATATCCATTGGGGCATTGCCCATTTCCAGCTCCTGCATGCTGTGTAGTCCTTCATTAATATCATACGTGTTGAACTAGATGTTAAAAGAGTGACAAAATTTTCAACATTTGTATTATAAAATACAGGATTAATTGTTAATGCACACACTGTGTGATCACAATTCACAGATCACCTGTTCATAACACATCACATTGATGGGCTTCAGGCTGCCGATCAAATACCAGTTATATCTATCAATCTAATACCAGTGAAAGTTTTGCCAACAGCTGTCAGCCGGTGAACCAAGAGTAGCAGGCGGTGCTGGTTCTTGGGAGTAGGTCAGTAGTTTGTACTGCATTCTATTCAGGAGTCCAGGTCTTCATTCAGTAGCCATGGAGACTGGAGAGAGATGACTTGATCTGCTGAAGAAGAAAAATCAGTCAAAATGGGTAGGCAGTTGGGTTTTTATTAAGTGACCCATTGTGAAATGCTCCATCAAGCCTGATAATGCTGACATAGATGGGTAGAGGTACTTTGTTGCACAGAAATCATCTGTTTAGGGAACGTTTGCTCACAGAACAAAAATTGCTTTTCTTTAGTCAAGACTTTTCGCAGAACAAATCTTCCGAGTTCAAGAAAACTTAGAAACGGGCCACTTTTCTGACACTGCATAGAGGACTGGGATACAATAAAAAAGATGTCAGGGACATGCATAAACATGGTAACTAAGTAGAGGGGGTGAGAAAGGGATGTACAAAAACACTAGTAAGAGTGTTAATGATGAACTCAACTTAAGGTGGTTCTCAAATCGTCACCATATATCACTGTTGTACTCAATTCGCGTCTAGTTGCCGCCATCTCCAGTAGATGTCACTGCTGCGCTCTGTTACCGTTTAGTTCCCGTCCTCACCAATATTAGCCGTGTGTACATAGAGATTGTTGCAAGCTTATAGATCCGCCCGATCATATTGCAAAAGATGTCAATGTTATTTTACAATTTACAAAATGATCCCCTCGAAATATGCAAAGATCACTGGATCGAAATTATCGCAAAATAAATGAGCTAGAACCTCGTCAAAAATGCTATGTAGGTATACGCGACTATTGTCACAGCCGCGTTGTGTTTCGCTTAGTTCCCGCCCTCACCTATAGATGGCACTGATGTCTGTGTGTTTTTACAGGTGGTTCGACGGCTTCAACTGGGAAGGTCTGATCGGACGGACCCTGACACCCCCCATCATCCCGCACATCAGGTATGACCGTCTATGATCAGTTATATGTGTTTATATGCAGGGTGTTTCACTGTCAAATGTATGCCGCGCCGCCACCCATTGTCAGGTGACCAGGAGTGTCCCCTTCCTCTATCCCAGCTACACACAGAACCTTACTTTAGCATGTATGTTAGTATGTATGTGTTACGGGCCATATGCTAACTTGGGCAGTATGCAAACTACCCGGGCAGTATGCAAACTACCCAACAGCCCGGGCAGTATGCATACCGCCCGGGTAGTATGCATACTACCCGACCCCTTGGGCAGTATGCATACCGCCCAAAAGTTTGGGCAGTTTGCATACTGCCCGCTTTTTGTTTTGAAGTTGTGTATTCCATGTCCATTTTAACCCGCGCCCTGCTGGGGGGGGGGGGGGGTTTGAACACCCCCCCTTGCGGTTTTTTCGCGAATATTTCAAAAACGGCGCGCGCCGCCGTTTTTGGTACACCTTATCATACATCAATTCTACACATGTTGTGAAAATTTCAGACCAAGGTCATTCAAGGTCAGGTCACCAGGTCACTTGAAGTGACCTCACCTCATAAAAAGTTTCAATGTCTGTCATAGCTACACCGAGTGACCGATCGCTTTGAAACTTTCAGCGATTGCTAAGAGCAATAGCATGTACAAAATGTATATCTCAGAATTTTGATATCGATGACCTAAGGTCAGGTCAATTTTGCGACCTCCCCATTATAAGTCAATGGGAGAAAATTGAAATGCGCCTCCTTTGGACGAAAGACATTATAAACACTCCCAAACCCTGAATTACCAGTGGTTTAGACACACTGAACATGAAAATTAAGTCCATGACCCCTGTTTATGCCCTGAGGTCATCTTAGGTCACGAATGGTATCTAACAGTTTTTCGCAAATAACTTTTGATAGAGGCATGCTAGAGCGATGAAAACGCCTTAGATGTGTTCAGCTCGACGATACGGATCGACTGATATGCAACATGACCCTTTCCGGTCAGGTCATGACCTTGACCTGAGGTCAAATTTTCAAGTTGACCTTTCAAGGTCAAGTTATAGTTCATTCGATGCGTCTTGACGAGAGGAATACGATGCCGGTATAAGTAAGCTCGTACGAAGCTTGGGTCAAAAGTTATTGCAGAAAAACTGTTTCCGAAAAAATCGGCTATTTTTGCAGTTTTTGCCCCCTGCAGGCAAAACCGTTGACGTTAGGTCAAATCTGAGAGAATTACTCAGAAAGGGCGTTAATAGGGCTATCGAATGCGCTTTTCCGCGGCGCTGTAGCTCTATTGGTTCCCGAGTTATGCGTTGGCTTCTTGGAAATTGTCGACATTCGACCTGGAAATCGGCGAAATTTTGCCTTCAATGACCTCTGGTGACCTGACCTTTGACCTGACCAAAAAATTGACCGAAGTGATTTCCTCATTATTTTTGACGCTCTTTCGAACGCCGCCTTTCGCGTATCGCTACGTGGCCCAGGAGCCGAGTTAGAAGGGGGGGGTGTTCAAACACCCCCCCCCCCCCAGCAGGGCGTGGAAATCCAGGACCCCCAGCCGGGCGCGGGTTAAAAAGCATTAATGGCTCTATAAGTATTTGGCCGGTCCCGTAGCTCAGTCGGTAGAGCGTTGGACTCCGCGTGGTGAGAGCACGCGTTCCCGGTTATAACAGTCCGGGTTCGAAGCGCGACGGGCGATTGACGTTTAATGAGCCTCCTTACAGGTATGATTGCGGTTTGTGGCAGGCCGTAGCCAAACGAAGTCAGTGAGAGGACCGGCCGTGCGCGGCTCTGTGCGCACTTTAAACTTTGGACTCCAAATTCTGCCATAGAACCGGCATTGCGCGATCGGAGGGTAGAGGGCAGGGCTACCTGTCCATAAGCTTCGCTTAGCGGGGGCTCTGTCCCTGTGAATCCTTCTATTCAAAAGGTTCGGACTAAATTTAAAAAAGTAACGTAGTTCAATCGCGAAGTCTTTTTTACCGTCAAACGTGATTTATCGATCGAAGGGTGAAATAATGTTTTTAATTCCCCAGAATTTCATTGAATTTCATTGCCAGCGGCCAACAAGTCATTTTTATCTGAAACGACGACAGATCTATAGTGCCTTCACTCGCTGGCTTTGATTTGGCACTTGGACCTGTAGAGGGCGTTATTATAGTTTCAATAGCTAATGTTACATGAAACCATTTACATGTAAGACGTTACAAGTTATTATGGTCGGGTTACCAGGTCAGGTCAAGTGACCTTACCCCAGAAAAAGTTAGAATGCTCGCCATACACCGACCGAACGATCGCTTTGAAACTTTAAGCGATTAATAAGAGTAACATTAGGTTCAAAATGCATGTATTTGAATTTTGATATCGTACAGATGACTTTAGATCAAGTCAATTTTGCACAGTCTCCCTAAGAAGGTGACAGGAGAAAGTTGAAGGAAGCCCTTTATGATGAACGTCATTCTAAACACTCCCAAACATCGGGTTACAGGTAAACATGACGCACTGAATCGAAAAAAAATGCACTTGTGGCCCCTTTTTATGACCATGAGGTCATATCAGGTCATAAAAGGTCTCCAGCAGTTCTTTGACCATTATTTTTTATGGAGACGTATTTGAGCGATGGTCATGGAAACAACCTTAGATGTGTTCAGTTCGACGATAAGGAGCGGCTGATAAACAACATGATCTTTTCATGTCTGGTCATGACCTTGACCTCAGGTCAAATTTTGAACTTAGATCAACTTCAAGTACCTATTCCAGAAAGCGCTAAAAGAGCTTTCGAATGCGTCTTTTTCTGCGGCGCTGTAGCTCTACTGTCTTCCGAATTATGGGCGAATTTATAAAAAAGAAGAAATTTGATCTTTGATAACCTCTGTTGCCCTATTCTTTGATCTGACCTTGAAAATGACTAGGGCACTTTCGTCATGATCTTTGACGCTATTTCGAATGCCGGTTACCGCATCTTACATGCCGCTTACTTCTGTTCCGCTAAGTGGCACGGGAGTCGAGCAGGGGTGTTCAACCCCCCCCCCCCTCCCCCTGCCCGGCACGACTGGCGCCGAGCACCGCCCCGGCGCGGGTTAAAGCGTCTGTCATGTGAGCTATTGCATTAACTAGTCTCACGGGCCACGGTCAGCATATTGCCCGAGTAAATATCTTGCCCGTGAGAGAAAAGGTGGGTAGTATGCATACTACCCGGGCAGTATGCAAACTGCCCGGGCGGTATGCATACTGCCCAAGGGGTCGGGTAGTATGCATACCACCCGGGCGGTATGCATACTGCCCGGGCTGTTGGGTAGTTTGCATACTACCCGGGTAGTTTGCATACTGCCCAAGTTAGCATATGACCCGTAACATATGCATGTTACTAGGTATGTCTGCCCGCTATCAGCTATGGCTGTAGGTATGGTGTATAATATCAGATATGTTCTTGGCTGCTTTGTTTCAATAGAAATTATTGTAGGCATATGTGAAAAATATAAAATATACACATAACTTTGAGGTACCCCACTTCTGGCAACATGTAGCGTCATACTCATGTTTAGCCCCGCTCACTATTACATTCGATAACAAGCAAAACAGTGCGTGACAGGTTGTTATCACGTGCCTCTCCTAGGTCCGCGTAAGACTCGTCTAACTGCCATGTGACCTCCCCCAGGTCCGTGTTGGACTCGTCCAACTTTGACGACTACCCTCCTGACTCGGAGCCGCTGCCCCAAGACGATCTCTCCGGATGGGACGCCGACTTCTAAACGGCAGACGACTGCTCAGCATGGGCCTCACAGCGGCTGCCATCTTGGAAACTACCGCCATCTTGGAAAACTGCCCCGCTGCGTCCGCCATCTTGGACTGCCTCTTCGCGGACGATGTTTTGTGTCAGTCTGCTATGGTGGGTTCTTACTTCTTTGTGCAAGTGGACGCCATTTTGAGATGCGGCACAGTGGCGGCCATCTTGGTCGGGCCTTGTGTTGTGGCAGTGTGAAGTAGTTTCTGGGTGATCGGGCTTCACTTGGCGTTTCTACCACTCACTCCGTCCGCCATGTTGAGTGAGGCCCACCGTGTGGCGGCCATCTTGTGTCAGGCCCACCTACGGCGGGCGCCATGTTGTTTGTGTGCGTGCGTGCGTTGTGTCAGGCAGGACCTTCAGGAAGGGAAACGGCAATCATAAAGCGTTGTTGACCTCTGCGCTCAGACGCATGTTCTCGCCCCTTACGTCCGCTTAGTGCTCCCAAGACTCCGAGTCGTTCTATGTGGGATCATGACTCTTTGGTGCGACTCTGCGCTCGAGTCGTAACTGTGACTCGAGTCAGTCGTTGGCGTTTGACTGAGGAGTCCATGTGGTGGGGACTCAAAGAGAACTATATCCGACGCGGGAATAAGATTGAGTGTCGCTCTGTGACGTCATCGGTGGTGCTCAGTGCTGGACGGTGATTGGTGGATGGGTGATGACGTCAGCTTGGGGTCTACCAGAAGTGGTGGAACAACAGATATCTATCTATAGCCTACTATGTGTTACACCAGAAACCATCGACCGGCTCCGCTGCTCACCAATGACTATGGTAACTAGTTAACTGAAGTGTGCGATCGACTTTTGGAGGTAAAACACTCTGACTGAATGAAGCTTCCCATTCAACAACAAAGACCCTCACTGTACCCGCAACCACGTATGACAATAACCCAAACACTTTGCATAGACAATGCCCAGCACTGGTCTTCGCTCTCGTGTTGTTTACTCCTTCACTACACCCCAAAACGGTGTATTACACCATACAATAACAGAAAATACTGTGCAGGGGTGTACATACCTATCGAGTATCCGATCGCCGTTGTGCCTTACTCTCGGATGACGTCATCTGTGACGTCATGTGAGGAGGTCGTATACGTACTCTGGGTGTTCTATGCGGTGTAATTTTGACAAGTTGGGGAGGGGTGAGATTGTTGTTGGGAGACGTTAGTAGCAGGTTCAATACACTCTAACAGAACACTGGTGTATTTGTGTGTGTGTGGTAAATGAGAGAGATGCGGAGACTCCACGGAACTCCGACTCCGACTCCGACTCCAGCTCCGGTTAGAACTAACCGATACTTCTGGCTGATTTCAAGCCTAAATAGATACTGAAAATATTGTGACGCCGTAAGAACAGCCGCTACTTTTTCAGTCATTCAAATGCCTATGTCTCTGGCAGTTTAAAGATATTTTGTTAATTTTTGGCATGTGTAAGGCGTGTAAGGCCCGTAAGGACTTTTCTGACATTTATTCCGTTTTTTTTACAGTTTTCTTAAATTAAAAAAAAAATCTCAAGAAATCGAAGTTTTTAGTTAGAAAATCCCTAGATCGTGAGATTTTTGTGTTTGGAAAATGTCGAGATAGCCATATTTGTTCGCCATGCTTTTTTATACCTACAGTTCGATTTTCGAGTCTAGGTCGAAAGTATGATTTTCTGCAATTTTTCTTCGTTAACGACTTTTTCGAAGCAAAATCGCCGAAAATGACCTTAAACCTCAACAGATCGTGACCTGAGATGACATGGGATCTATTTTTTTCAGGAGTTGTGTAGAATTGATGCCCAGAGCATAGGCGGCGGAACGGGGAGGGCACCGGGGCACCGTGCCCCCCTTTGATTTTGGCATTTTAGCATTAGCCCTATGGGCGTTGCATGGAAATAATGGGACCAAAAGTACGCAGTGCCCCCCCCCCTTAACCCGCGACCTGCTGGCGGGTGTTTGAACACCCCCCCTTGTGGTTTTTCGCGAATATCTCAAAAACGGCGGCGCGGAGCGCCGACGTTTTTGGTACACCTCATCATACATCAATTCTACACATGTTGTGAAAATTTCAGACCAAGGTCATTCAAGGTGAGGTCACCAGGTCACTTGAAGTGACCTAGCCTCATAAAAAGTTTCAATGTCTGTCATAGCTACACCGAGTGACCGATCGCTTTGAAACTTTAAGCGATTGCTAAGAGCAATAGCATGTACAAAATGTATATCTCAGAATTTTGATATCGATGACCTAAGGTCAGGTCAATTTTGCGACCTCCCCATTATAAGTCAATGGGAGAAAATTGAAATGCGCCTCTTTTGGACGAAATACATTATAAACACTCCCAAACACTGAATTACAAGTGGTTTAGACACACTGAACATGAAAATGATGTCCGTGACCCCTGTTTATGCCCTGAGGTCATCTTAGGTCACGAATGGTATCTATCAGTTTTTCGCAAATAACTTTTGATAGAGGCATGCTAGAGCGATTAAAACGCCTTAGATGTGTTCAGCTCGACGATACGGATCGACTGATATGCAACATGACCCTTTCCGGTCAGGTCATGACCTTGACCTGAGGTCAAATTTTCAAGTTGACCTCTCAAGGTCAAGTTATAGTTCATTCGATGCGTCTTGACGAGAGGAACACGATGCTGGTAAAAGTAAGTTCGTACAAGGCTTGGGTCAAAAGTTATTGTAGAAAAAACGTTTCCGAAAAAAATCGGCTATTTTTTGCAGTTTTTGCCCCCCTGCAGGCAAAACCGTTGACGTTAGGTCAAATCTGAGAGAATTAGTCAGAAAGGGCGTTAATAGGGCTATCGAATGCGCTTTTCCACGGCGCTGTAGCTCTATTGGTTCCCGAGTTATGCGTTGGCTTCTTGGAAATTGTCGACATTCGACCTGGAAATCGGCGAAATTTTGCCTTCAATGACCTCTGGTGACCTGACCTTTGACCTGACCAAAGAATTGACCGAAGTGATTTCCTCATTATTTTTTACGCTCTTTCGAACGCCGCCTTCCGCGTATCGCTACGTGGCCCAGGAGCCGAGTTAGAAGGGGGGGAGTGTTCAAACCCCCCCCCCCCCAGCAGGGCGTGGAAATCCAGGACCCTCAGCCGGGCGCGGGTTAATTGAAGGTGTTCCGCCGCTACTGACCCAGAGGGGTACTGAAAGTTTCAAGTCGAAATTTGCGGCCGTTTCTGAGTAATCTGCGAAAAACACAGGGGGCCCCTCCCCAACAGGTCGCGGGTTAAAACACTGCTATGGCACAAAGCGTACCTACTTCCGTAGTTGGCTTTTACGCGCAATAACCTTGCAGTTTCTGCTTTTGACACTGAAGCGTTTTCAGGACTTGTGGCGTTTACAGTTCCAAAACGGTAGTGCCTAAAACCTGACTATGCATACACAGTGTCTCAACTGAGCCTTTGTTTGAACTCCATAAAACAAAATGTGACAAGGTTTGTACGCTTCCGGGTCGATGTACCGGTGAGGCCGAGAATAGACAATGGTAAATAACACGGCACAATAAACCAGTAAAACGCCTTTTGGGCGAAGAACGAGCGAGCGAGATAGTGAGCCCTGCACGTGCGGAAGGGCGAGAGGGTACTCCCAACGGGCTTGCGCAAAGCACCCTTCTAACCGGTCGCTAGCGGTGTACCAAATTTGAACGCAATCGGCCCAGCCTTTCCTGAGATCTGGAAGCGGCATTCTGCACGTGCGCACGTGCAAACGGGGTCCAAACTGACTTTTGCACGGCACCCTTCTAACCGGTCCCCAACCGTGTACCAAATTTGAGCGCAATCGGCCCAGCCGTTCTCGAGATCTTGAAACGCCCCCTGCACGTGCGCACGTGCAGTAGCACCCTAACCGCAGCACATGGGAATGCATTGCCTGGTGGGTGCCTACCTGTATGCCAAGTTGCAGCGAAATCGCCCAGTAATTACCGAGTTACTGAAATGGGAACAAATTTGGCACCTCTTCTTTTCGTATTTTGCACGTGCAGAGGGCGTCACTCACATAGATCAAGAGTATTCGACCTTTGGTAGAAGGGATGCAACTACCCTATAAAAATTACCGCAAGACAATCGCTCAAGCGGCTGCTGAGATATGGGCCTCTTAAAATCATTACTTTTGCAAAACTGCTTGAACATCCTTGACTTTTCAAGCGGCACGTGCCACGACGGTCACTGAGATGTATCAAAAGTAGTCAATTACGGGGTAGAAGGGATGGGGCTACCCGGCAAAAAAACGCAGGCCAATCGGTCCAGCGGTTGCTGAGATATAAGCCTCTCAAAAGCGTCACAGGCCGGGCCGGGCCGGGCCGGGCCGCTCATACTGAGATTTTTCTGTTATATTGAAAAGACATCGCTTCGCTCGCTGCGCTCGCTGGCTCGTACTTGTTCTAAAATATCATGTGATGCATGTTATATGATCCATTTTACATGACAAATACGATTTTGTGGGTCAGGCAGCCTTTGGGGCCAGTTTCGGTTATGTTCTGTGAAGGTCAGGTCAAGGTCAGGTAAAGGTCAGGTCAAAATATGGTCAAATCTCAAACATGATATTTTTGCATAAAATGGCATCGATTCGATGCAGCTCGTCACGGGGAGTCTAATGGAGATCTTTATTTTGCGCTACGTGGTCTGGAATTGCTAAAAATTGAGTTCAAATTTTTGACGTCATCAATTTTGAAGTTTTTTCGCTATAACTTGGCTAAAAAGGAGGTATCGATGTAAATTTTGGTATGTAGATAGCAGACCGGAGGGACTATTATACGTAACTATTGCGTTTTTTTTCGAAATTCGATTTAAAAAAAAAGATCTTTTAAAGTTTTTCTTAAAAAAAAAAAATATTTTTTTTTGGTGGGAGGGGGGGGAATCCCAAAATTTTGAAAATCCGAGATAGCAGTTTTGTATCGCTTTCTTTTCTCTACAGGACCACATAAAAAAACGTTGAAATTGTTTGTTATCTGTCGATTTTATGAGCGTTTCAAGATGTCATGTTTTTTGCTCATTTTTGCTCGAATATGACCTCAGTTTGACCTCAATAACTCCTGACCTAAGGTGACCTGTGCACTAGGGCGGGTCGATGAAAAAAGTTTTCAAGTGAAGAGCGATTTTCCTACGGGCTGATCCATAAAACGGTTAAAACATATTTTTTGCGAATTTTTGAAAAGGAACTGGGCGCGCCGTACACGGTTTTTCGAGACCACTTTTGCTAATTTTTCTCGTTGTTTGCAAAATTTAGTAGGAAAAAATCGAGAAAGATACTATATTTACCACTTTCCTAGTTCTACATGCTTACCCCCACCTCTTCACAAAGTTTGGAAACCCCAGTGGCAGAATCGTGCTCAGAATAGCGATTAGCATCGGCGATCTGAGCGCAACGAAACCAGCGCCATCTATTGAGCGAGTTTGGCATAACATTGGTTTTGACGGCTTTCCGACCGTTAAAAGCTGACGCAGCCGCTGCCAGGGTATATTGCTGCTGCCACGTCGGGTATATGGTGTTCTTTGGTGTTCCTAGGTGTCTGGTGTTCCTTATTTGACACTAGGTGAGTTGTACCCATTCGATCCATATACTAAGTTGCTCCGGAAGCTATACCTATAGTGATTTCGCCAAGAAAACAGCGAGATGCTTAACTTTGATATATGTTTATCAGTTAAATTAAGTTTTGCAGACAGATAACATCAGTCCAAACCGTATGTTCATTTTTGAATGTAATGTAGCCAGCCACCTTACCGTCCTAGGACAGTCAATCACACTTCGATAATTGATTCAAACGCCGGCATGAGAGCGCTGCATTGCGTCCTGATGGCACACGTGATGTAACTGAGACGTGCTCTCTTAATAACAACAGCGTATGCTGCCTAAGTTAGGAGCCGGACGGCTCGCTCCACTGCCTGAGTAGTGAGTATGGGTATGCACCGGATCGAAATTAATTTGCTAAGCAGCGGGTCGAAGGTCACCCTCTTCCAGCGAGATTGCTTTTGGTGACTCTGTAACGCGTTTTTTGGACCGATCTATGAGCTGCATGTAGTGCATGACTTGTTTATTGCAAAATGCTGATAGAATCGCATATCTTTGTCTCCTGCCTCATTCACTTCCTATACTTTTTTGCCGTAAGTGTCTCGAGTCTTTTTATCACCATTCCTTAGTTCAGCAAGCATCGCAGCGTATGCACTGTTTGCTGGCTGTCTGTATCGGCTAGTGGCAGTCCA